GGGGATTGCCAGGTGGAAAATTATGAAACATTTATACATTCAGCAACTATGGTTAGTATAGATACAAAATATATACTCAGCAACAAAGGTTCCAGTGAATCCAGTGTTGAAAAAAAGTTCCTGTTGATCCAGTGTTGAAAACAACTTAATATACAATATGACATGACATACGACATTTGAACAACAGGCAGACTTCAGTGAAATTAATTTTTGTTTGGGGTTAACATTTCATATATTTGCCTTCATTTTGCTGTATTAAAATTACAATGGGTAATATATATAAAATACAGCACTCATCGAGTGTTGAAATATTTGATATCAAAAGACTGGAGGATAACATTCTGTATTGTATGTACATTGCATTTTGAGGTTCTTTTAAGCAAAAACGACCATGCTGTATCACTGACCATACAAAACACACAGATATATCAACACCTGATGTCGGTCTGTCGGTTTATGTATTTCAGCAGGAAACGATTTCATTGTGTGATACAATGGGGCACTGCAAAATAAATTTGACTTTACATGATTCGTTCTACTGTGTACTGTATATTTCCTACATACTATCTGAACATGGCTCAGAACGAACTTCACATATGAGCTGCAGTGGGAGCAGTGTACTAGTTATAATTCAAAACTTGTTTCTCTACATATCCTCTGTCAATGTGATAGCTTACAATCGATCTGAGAAACTGCGTCACAGTGTACGCGTATCACGTGATCACATGCATTCTCCCCGACGGCTTGATCATGTCACGTGATCATCAATACAGGGAGGCGACAACAGGGAAGTAAGACGTTGTCTACCCCGGGTGCTCGTCCATGTTGCAGTATCTGTAAAGGTAAAACACTAGGTCGCTGTTGAAAAATAACTTGATTCTTCTGTTTTCGCAATCAGTCTACCCAACACGTAAAGGTGATGACACGACTCATAGATTTGAGATATGTTAGACTTGAGGTAAATTGCCCTTCGATAACGAAAGTAACTGCAAAAACCCCGTCCAGCAGGTTGAAGCAGAGACCATAAAGAAGCAGTTTATCATAAACCATCAGCTACGGTCTGGTATGTAACACCCCGACACCCTACTGTTACACCTCCCCCCCCCCCCCCCCCCCCCCCTGTACCGCTGCAGATGCGCAATAGAAGCACAGACTTTCGCAACTAACCATTCTGGTAGCCAAGTAAACAATATAACATCATATCCGGGGCTAGAGTTCATTCCCTTAGCCGATATTGCTTCAATCACCACCAGCGAAATCCAAAAAAATGACGACTCCTAGCAGATTACAATGATTTTTGTCTCATCTCTCATTCGCACACTACTACCAGGGGTTGGTTTCGGATGACTCTTGGTCTGAAGAGAATAACAGCGATGTTACCGCTAACAAGTCGTCGGTAATATCTCCAAAAAAGTTTCAATCAAAGGAAAAGATCGGAAAAGAAAACACGACGACTGTCTACCAGTAACGGTTTTCGAGGACATGTTTAGAAAAAAGCATAACCGATCCAATATCAAAAGAATTAAACAATTTATTCTATTTTAAAGAATATCAGAAATATGTATTATTTTATGATACAATTGTATAACTATTATAAATAAACAAAGTTACAAAATCTGCAATGAACTCCACATAAAAATACGATTCGGTAAACTCAGGAATTGTACATAAAACTGAAGCAAGACAGATGTTACAGTTAACCATATTCCCGATGTTCACAAAAAATATCTCCAGATAAGTTTCATATCATATAATAAATCCAGGCTAGATTTACTTGCTGATATGCATGTCCACTGGCTGGTGAACATGCTTTACTGTTAGCCAGAAAAAAACATTTGCCTTTATATCATGTAAATTCTGTACTAGTAAATAATTCTAATAGTTGCAATGAATCAAAATCTAACATTTACTAAAAGCGTTGTTAAATGAACTTCTGATGTGACCGAGAATGCCCTTCGCAAGTAATCAAATGTTTTCAGTTAATGCCAGTTTGGGGCTTGCGCTTTTCATGTGATTTCCCGGAGGAGATAATCTTTTAAAGGGAGGCTACTCATAAATTCGATTGCAGACGACGGTTGTAATCATCGTTATTTAATAATAGCCGAATAGTTTGAATAGTTCAGCAATACGAATAATTAGGTCTTTCGGGTATAACAGTATAGCTTCAACAAGCATGGCACCAGATAAGTTCATTATACAAATATTTCAATGGATTTTTTTTATCTGTATGATGATTTCATTGTTGTCTTAATACACAAAGTCAGTAGTACTTTGATCATGATTGTGTTTAGACCCACATCATATAGCTTATAATTTATATTAACACGGTATAAAAAGATAAATTAATTGTAGCCATGATTAATAAAGAAAAAATCTACAGAAAATAACATAAATAGTGATCGTCTAAATATGTACAGTTTTCTTCAGTGCGCCATGTGATAGAAACCTAACTGAAACAAAGTTGATAGGTATGTTAAACTTACAAAGAGATGATGAATACAATGGTAAAAATAAAATAAAAACAGATCTTCAAAACTGTAATTCCGATATCACTAAAAATTAGAAACTTTGTAGAATGTTTCAAAAGATATATTTTGATCACAATCACAGACAAAATGCATGTTATGTCGTCTTCGATATGGTAATTTAACTATAGATATATGACTGAAATCATAAATAATAACACCTAAATATTTTTGGTACCAAGCAAAAGGGTAAATCTGACTGAATGTAAAAATATTTATTTCAGGACCGATAATAGAAATAATTTCAGAAACATTCAGATTTAGTTGCATTTCTGGAGTCAAAATCAGAAATTTCGCGACCGCCCCATTTGTTAATGGCACTAAACTAATCATTAACACATCTTCTTTTTATACACCTCGGTAACCAAGGACGTTCACTGAGAATTAGTGGCAGTTATAGAAAAGCACAGTCTGCACTTTTGACGATTTTACATGTGCGCCATTATTGCTCACTCAGACTAAGACAAAGCGTGAACACATTCATCGAATACAATGACAACGATATGCTTCAGAGCACCAACAAGTATCAGTTGTAATGTTGACAATGTTTAGAAATACATGAGCGTATATATATATATTTTAAAATATATCCTTTAGCATAGAAAAAAATGACGATAACGATGACCGCAGTGAACGCGTTTCCGCTGTGATGCGCAGTACAAGCCGTAGCGCTGACGGTTTCGCGGCTGGAGGGATGTCCCTCTGTTTTATGGTCTCTGGCTGAACTATGTGTGATATGTGAATTGACTTCCGAAAACAACGTATCAATAAGTTTGTATATATCACGTATTTGTGAGTTATGCATATGCATATTAGAGTTATGCCGAATATAGAATCGTGCCCCTCTCGAAGGTTCATATTGGCGTATGAACACGAGAACTGTTTCAAACAAGAAGGATAACTCTACCCGCGTCATCGAGGTGGAATATTGCTTAGTGTCGCGTTATACAACTAACAAGCTTTAATATTCAAAGCTCGTTCAGAAAAAAAAGAAGATATACAATCTCATCAACTACTGTAAAAAGATGTTGCTGAGTACAAAGTATGCGCTGGAATAACATAAATGTAATTGTGTGGGAGTGACATTCCTATAAACCTGAATATATATACCTCATTAGGGTAATTTACCACCCAAAATATTTATTACATTACAATTTCCAATCAGTAAACGATAGCTTTCATCGAGAGATTTCCTTTACAAATTTCCACATACAATGTTATTCGTTCGAATCTTATAAATATTTTCGTTGATGATTTGTGGTATACCGTCATCATCTCAATGTTGTGAATACATTTTGAGGAATCGATTTTTTTTCTAGCAACCTATGTTTTCTTGTTCAGTTATCAATTGTTAATGTAATAAAGGTATGTGGTACGGAACTGAAATGACACGGAGGTGTGTATAGGGGTATGTAAGAGAACCAGATAATCACCAAAATATGTATTTATAGCAAATAAATCCCCTTAAAATATGTTACTACTACCAAGCAAATGATATTTTGATATTTATAATCCATTTACATGAAAAAGACATTCTTTAAAAGCATTGTGATTTATCGGCGCGTCTGTAGCCTAGTGGTACACTCAGAGGATACTTAAAACTAAAATGTCACAGAATATTACAACAGCTATCTGATATGCCCAGGTTAACATTATTTACCAGAAACAAAACAGGAAGACAATTTGCTCCCAGGTACATTCCGGAAACCTTTCGGGATTCAAATATTTTTTAATATGTTTCATACTTATTTGAACAAGATGCACCCCACAAATTTTGACAATTTTGGGGGAAGGTTTCCGGAAGGTATCCGGAAAACGGAACCTACTCTTTTGTTGCTGTGTTTGAAAATTACAACTATGGTAGACCTACCCGTTCCTTGAGTATAAAGAAGCATTATGCATTGAATACCAGTTTTCATCACTGGCCTCGAAGGATCCTTGGGCAACGAAATTGATATTTAATGTACAGCCAAGATCATAGGATCACTTCACGAAACGTTTATTATGATTCTGTGAAATGTGTAGATGAGCGTTAATAATGATATGTAACATGTTATATTATTAGACAGTGATATTCAAGGAGAAAAGTAACATAGTCATACCGTCCAAATATGTCAGTGTAACTGTAACCGGCTGCTAGCTTTCTTTTGCAAAAAGAACAAAGCTGATACAATGGCCAAGACAAAGTAAACCATTGCATACAACACAAATCTGTGAGATGCCATTGTAATAACACATTAAGTTCATCGATCAAGATTAAAATAGGAATAAAATTGATTTGATTTATTTGCTGTATTGTTTAAGGTAATTATGATGTCAGCAAGCATTACCTTTTGGAAGGGGTGACTATTAAATTAATAAATGATGGAGACAATATTTAAAATAACAGAACTAGGGCTTATGCCACAACAAAAATATTTTTTGAACAAACTTGTATTGAAGTTATAGCCTAATCAGTTAATTTCTTTCCATCAGAAATGGCCACAGCTAAGAAGCTGACAGACAACCACCTCACCTGTGGCATTTGCACGGAGGTGTTCAGAGACCCTGCCACACTTCAGTGTAATCATACATTCTGTAAGTGCTGTCTTCTGAAATACACCAAAACACAGACTGAAGCAACGCAAGCTAAGTCCATCCGATGTCCCTCCTGTAGACAAATGACGAAGGTTGCCATCCCTGATAGTCCAGTAGAGGAATGGATCAGTCAGCTGAAACCAAGCCACGTCATACAGGGGCTAATGGACGACTTTGGAGAAGAGGCCCGAGGTATACTACCGTAGGATTCTTTATATCCTTTTCATTGCAATTATCTCTAATATACCTACATTGTAACGTTTGACCTAATGAAGGAAAGGGTTTGAAAAGCATTGGTATATATTCCTCTTTCTCTCGTAGACGTTATTACAGTACTTTCAGATATTCATTTTGTGCTATATAGGTATTGATTGCTGCATGGTTTGCAAAAGAGAAGGGGAGATTACTCCTGCTACGTCCTGGTGTGCCACTTGTTCTGACAGCTTCTGTGATAGATGCCTCAAGGTACACAGGAATATGTCATTGTCTAGTGATCACGAAGTGGTAGATTTATCTAAGAAGGGCCAAGGAAAATGCAAACGACATTTCATGTGTAAAATCCACAGAGACAAACAGATAGAGCTCTTTTGTAAAGACTGTACTATTCCAATTTGTACTTTATGCTGCAGCATAAACCACAGGAAATGTGATGATGTTGTTACCATAGATAGTATGGCCACACTAGTGAAAGAACACATGACCAAAGAAACAATGAAGCTGAAGGACAAAATGAAACTCAAAACTGACAATATTTCATCTGCAGAATCTTCAATAAAAAAGATAACGGAAAATGCCAGTTCTGTGAGATGTGAAATACAAAAAGTTCGCAGGGAAGCTGTGCATTATCTTATGAGGAAAGAACAACTCCTACTCGACCAGGTTGACAGATTCGAGGAGGACAATGTTAAAAACTGGAACAGGTTCATCCAATCAGAGGAGATTGACCTTCAGATGTACCAACAACAGATAAAGATCACAACCAATGCTGTTACATCAGACTGCGATGAAGATATGTATGCCCTATATAAGCAAGCAGATATTACATCTACAGATCAAATTAAAATATTGAAAAAGGATGTAAAGAGACCGACCCGACACAGGATCTCATTCAGACAGAATGAGGAAATATTTTTGACACTGAATAACCTAAACCTTGGTGATGTTAAGAATCGTTCGGGCATATTTAATTTTTCCTTTTTGTTTAAAAGGTGATCACCTGCTTGACAGAGCTGTTAGAATCTACATCACAACTTCACTACGTTAGGCATCTGCTAAACTGGTGCCTTTTACTATTCTACATTTTACTTCTCTGGAGTATAACGAATAAGACGTTAAATATTTAATTGAGTCACTTTCTGTGCACATCAGATTTCATGAAGATGAGAAGATCAAACTATTTTGTAAAGATTGCAAGATGGGAATTTACACTGTGTGTCGTAGTATCAAAACGTGCTAACCATTGACACCATGACGCGTCATAGCAGACTTAATGTCACATTGTGATACTTCGACCTTTTTCTTAAATGTTCTATACGTTTAAGTTATTTGTGTTGAAAACCGGAAGACGTGTCAACTGTAGTTTGTTTTGTGGCTGTGCTTCTTTGTCAATCAGCCAAATGTTACCCAACCATTAATTCCCTTTCCATAGCTTCCCGTCGTGTATTTATCGTTTCATTGTATATATGTTGTGTACTTAATGTTCTGGTACAGTGTCGTGGTACAGGTATTATCCTCATTGTGTATTTGTCGTTTACTGTGTATATGTTGTGTATTAATGTTCGGGCACTGTGTTACATGTTAGGTATGTAATGAGTTTATGGATGTGGCGTCCACAGATGAAGACAGTGAGGACAAGAGACCAGTATCATCCAGCGCTCTCTTGACACGTGACAGACAAATTGAAGAGCTAAGTTATAGGAGGTCTCCTCCCTTGCAAAAAGTTTACTGTGTCAGAGTTATTAAGTCACGTGTGTGATGTTGCAAGATAGACTGTGACAGACCATGTTTGACTCCTGTTGACATAATGGAGATAAAAGTGACACTACTTACACAGGTGTGGCAAGGAAGCAATTTTACATTCATGTTACGAGAAGTACCAATGTGATAGTCAGGGAAGGGCAGTAACATTGTTCATGTGACCAGTTAAGACAAAACTCCTACGCTCCCACAGGAGACAAAACTCAGCTCAGGAGAAATCATGTATGTTGACAGCAGCGCCCACAAGGTGATTCAAGAATCGGGGCAGTTTGTCAGAGATGTTTTCACAAATGATGGCACAGAGAATCCTCGCGGTATCTCCCTAGATGAACAAGATCTGCTGTATGCCAGCAGCAATCAGTGTCTGAAGGTATTTAGAGTTGAATAGTAGATTAATGAATCATATAATTGACTGGTGGAAGATGAAAACTACTGTATGCAAAACCTGCTTGTGAACCATACAGATTGTATACAAGACTTTGTGACAGATTAAGCGCAAGTATCTATGAGAAATCACAGGAGGTATACAATTGTGTAAAAATAAAAATTACGAAAATAGTTGCAGATCTATAGCGTATCAATAAGGGATTGTAATATAAGGTTGATCGTAACAGTAATGATTGACGCGGTCGAAGCACGCTCGCAACCTGATATCGATATATTTATGTAATTGTTGCAATTTGGCTGTCATCGATGTATACGCAGTTCCATGTACGCGAGTGGAGGAGTGAGTTTGGTATAACGCTTCTTTGAGTAGTATTACCGCAATGTCACAGCATATCAGCTTCATATAGGAGGAACGCCCTAAGCGATACAGGTCGTTTGGCAGTTTGTTGCCCATGAACGTGTTCAGCGCTGACGAAACAAAAATCATAACTAGTACTAATCGGGGATTTGATCTGACTTAACACGGGGTTGTGGCACGCCTAATGGACATAATCGCATAAGCTTATGAATAAATAAATTACGAATGGTACGAACCCCTTTCTCTTTTGCATTATTTAATTGTTGTTTTGAGCGACATGGCTCATTGGCGTTGATAGAACTACTATACTGTTCACGATCAAAGAACCATTAAACCCAAGTCATTTACACATATCCTTAAAAGGATTTTGAAGAGGTATTCCCCTCAGACTTCGATTTTGTTATCTAACGAATACATAAATGATGCCAGTACTTCACATTGTCTATATTTGTTTTATTATTAGACTAAACTGTCAGTCTAAAACTAGGATGTGAAAGATCTATCTCGAGTTTGTTTTTTATTTAAAAAAACAACCGAAAATATTATCGGGACAGATCAATGACGAAGGAGTTGTTTGTTTTGTTATTTTTAACGCTGCATTCAGCAATATTTCAGCTGTATACACATATCATAGTTCAAAAATGCGTCATATGATATATGACGTTGATATACGCCGGCTTTCATTCACAAGTTTTAGTTGATAAACATTATGTATTAAGCGCTAAGACTACGTTCGTGTTCCACCCGAAGTCTATAATCAGTCGGTGTTGCCTTTATTCCCAAGATCCATTTTTTAAGCGTTATGTGCTAATCGTTAAGACTAAATGTCTGGCGAGAGAAATAAACATTACTCCATGATAACAAGCTCTCCGAGAAAACCTTATTTATGTGATTTTAGTCATTTCTGCATACTCATGTCTTTCAAAATTGCGAGGTAATCTCTAAATTCAGATAGGTATTGTGTAGGTATTGTTTAACTTAGTTATAATTGAACATGCGACCATATCATGACCTCTAAAAACATCAGTACGATGGTATAAATAACGGCCTTTATTCGTGGTACCTCATTGATCAGTTACACCGAAGAAAGACTGGCCACTAATAGATGCTCCTCTTGGTTGTTTTAAGATAAGACATGTTCACTTCATATATATTGTATGTTCTTTCACTATATTCCTTTTTATCTGTTTTCTATTGCCTTCTATGTGCTTAGGTCCTTTGAATATAATCAACATTTTAAATTAGGCATTATTGATTAAGGTAACAAGTGAAGTTATTATTATAGTTAGGTTAGATCATGTAGCACTAGACAATAAAACAATATGGTGTATATTAAAATAGTGTAAAATATAATATAATAACGTTCATACATTGGTTCAGCAAATTAAAGTTACACATAATCGGGCTCGTGAAAGCAAAGTAATTCTTGTGCACCTGTTGTCAATCTTATATATTTTTGAATTTTTGCAATCAAATGTAAATGAATGTATCCTTTAAAAAATTACTGTGTGTGTTCAAATCATATGATTCAAACTACCATGGATGTAATTAATGTTTAAACAGCCTACTTATGCAGCGATGTAACCATACTGTACACGCAAAACCCGTGAGCGCACATAACACTTGTTCTTTTATTCATTTGCTCATGTATTGCTATATTTTCATTATTCTTAAGGTCTTTATATGTATACATTGTACACATTCAATGACATGCCGTTCGGCATATGACTTTTGGTTTTTAACGGTAGTTTGATATAAAAACATGTGGTCATATTATGTAACAAGAAGATTGAAATTTTATATTAATATTTGTGTATTTTTATTATTCGGTTTAAGTTATATTCTGTAAGGTTGGATTAAAGTAAAGCTTATCATTACGTTCTTCATAAATATCAAAGATCATGTATGATTATGTTAGTAATTGGTAAGATATTTATTAATATATGTGTATTCTTATTATTCGGTTTAAGTTATCTTCTGCTGGATGTATTAAAGTGAAGCTTATCATTACGTTATTCATAAATATCTAAGATAATGTGAGATTATTTTAGTAATTGGTTACACATGTAGTACATGTCTTTCCGAAGAGTTATCTTATTTACTTACAATACAGAATCCTTAATTGCGCTAGATGACATGTTTTTTATTTTCAACCAAATGTAAATTGTCTTCGTTTCATTTGTTTAAAAATGCAATTGTTTATTGTACGATACATTGTCAGTAAGATTTATACTGTAACTGTTTCATTCATAATTTTAATATTTTAATTGTTTTAGGTTGTACTTTGCTTATGTTTTATTGTGATATGTAAATGATTGATGATATACACCGAATAAAGACTGGCCACTAAAAGATGCTTCTGTTGGTTGTTTTAAGGTGTGCAGTCCCTCGCTAATTCCCTGACAACAAATTCTAGGTATTATAATCAGCCTAGACCAAACATAAACCTTTAAAGGTTATTATATAGTTCATAACGTTTATTACCTCTTCTTTATGTCCATATATCTCTTGAACCTCGGTGCATAGTTTGAAATGAAATGTCCACCGATACCACCTATGCCTCGTGGACAGTTGGTACCAGAACAATATATGTGGTCGCAATATAAAGCAGCAGATGAAGCAGTTTAAGGGGTAACCTAATAACAACATATGTCATTGTATGACTGATTTCGCTTTCTATCATTCTATGTATGTCACTTTGTATTAAAAAAATAATAAGTCTTTTGTTATAAAAATGAATATAATATAAAATAAGTATATATATAAATATAAATACACATATTGATAACCCTGTTTATGTCAGATGACAATCTCAATATTACCATTAACGCCATACCTTACACCGTTTGTACGTGGTATACATCTGAAACATGTAATATTCATAATTCTGCATGTTGTCTTCATATGTTGTCCAGTGATTGGAATCACAAACATGACGAACATTTAACAACGTATTGGGTACGTCGTCATGGCGTTAGGCATGCGTCTTTGGCGTCATTGGCGTCACACCGTGTTAAATAATGAATGGAGGTTCATTGTCAACTTTGCAAATGTCCGAGCCATGCTTGGGCAGAGCTAGCAGTAAACCACAACTGTTTAAACCGATATATTGTGGCCCAGAGATGATGTGAGCACAGGCCGTTGCTTAAATATCTCTAATTCTATCATATCACACAAGCGGCAGAAATACACTATCCTTTGTCTATTTTTAATTATTTGATTAAGCTACTCGTCTAAGACTAAGATATGGATACTCGATCTCCAGTGTTGCGTTTCAGGAACAGGAAATATTAATGAGAGGGATATGAATTAGCGGGAGGAGGTTGATATTTTCAATTTCAAAACTAAACTGGATATTCGTTCGTTTATTGTTTAACGGCCCAGCCAATCCAGTATTATGACCAACGACCCAAAGCCAAAGCACCAACTCGGACCATCGAATCCAGTACATCACCTCGAATCCAATAAGGGTTCGCATTAGGAGTGATTTGGAACAGTCCATGTTGAATCTACTCAAACGCAACGAATGCATGGAAAATGCATGCAAATGTTTACTTCCATGATTTCTTACTCACGCATTGCCGTGTAGCATAAAAGAATTAAGGAAAAGTGTTGTTTCGAAAACAGTAGTGTACATGAAACTGTACTTTACGGAAGTGCAAAAATGGCGTGATACGAGGGAGGTCATGGAAATCACATCGATAAGTTGCTGATGATCTCAATAAATCAATTAGTAAGCGTTAATTGTAATGGAATTTGCTTAGGCAAACTGTCCATATGTAAATGCGTCACAATCGTGGTAAATGTAAATTTACAACCGCCTCATAACACTCTTAGCGTTAAAGGCTACATTACGCTCATCATCGCACAGGCGTTTGAGTTATCGAATAGTACGTCATCGTGTTTGCAATTTACAGAATTAAAAGGTGGCCAGCCAGTTTCAAGATGACTGCTGAGGACACATGTCTATTTTTTTGGTGTTTTTTAACGCCTCACTTGGCAATATTAAAAGCAATAAGACGGCGGTCTGTAAATAAGTCTGGACCAGACAATCGAGTGATTGATAACATGAGCATCGGCCCACGCAATTGGAATATGCTGACATCCATCACCCAAGTCAGCGAGCCTGACCACCTAGTCCTGTACGTGGTACGCATGGGTTGCTGGGGACCAATTCTAACCCGGAATCCCAACGTTTACGAACGTTCTTGGCACGGCGTCATAGTGTTAGGCAGTTGCATCATTGGCGTCACACCGTGTCCATTGACAAATAGAGGTTCCTTCTCGACTATTCATATGGATGAGCCATACCAGCTGCGTCACATAGACAGTGAAACTGGTATGGTGGTTGTTGGCATCACCTACAGCTCTAGAACAGACCTCATTCGCCTTGATGACGGTCTCACAGATGCTCGTTACCGTGAGTTTGCGCTCAGTCGTGGTATCCTTTATGTGCAGGATTTGACGCCAGTTTGAATCCTAATGGGATGAAGCTGCCCACGTACAACTAGTGTATCAGTGGTTCCTGATGGGAACTGGGAACATCAAGGTGCTGCCTTTACCAACTCGAACATCTACCCTACTGATTGATCTGTGAGATGACCGTGAACGTCGTGTGCACCAACATCATGTATTCTCAAAATCTGGACTAACCCTTTGCAGCTCAGCATGACGAGTGGATCACAATCGGTATGAACATTCACTCATATGGCAGATCACAACAACTTGGTGCAAACAATAACAGAATATTGTGACAAAATGCACACTCATGCGTCCCAATAACAACAGATCGCATACTCCAAGCACCGATGAAAACAGGAGGTAGGGTCAGTAAACGTGCTATACCGGATGTGTCGGTGATTGTCTGTAAACGGCTTTCCATGGATGTCATGACAGCATGGCTAATGTTCATTGTGAATCACTGGGGGAAATAATAAATGATGGTGATAGTGTCAGCTACAGTAAAACTGAACCCCAGGGATAATGTATACAATATCGACAGTTGCATTAGATACAGTGAATCACTTAATAAACATATGCCATGAAGATCGTGACAGTTGCATTTTCATACAGTGTATCACTTGAGAAATGTATGCGATGGAGATCGCGGCAGTCACATTATCGCATAGCTAAGCACTGAGAAGATCAAGAGATATCTCCCAGGAAATATGGCTACAATGAAATTGCATCATTGAATTTCTTGAAACTATTCTGACGTCATTGGTTACAGTGACATAAAAATCAAATGACACACTCATCACTTTGCCACTGAAACTGGTCAGATGTACTTTTTAACCCAAGACAATGACTTCTACTGTTTACAAATTCCAAACGACACGAGGATAGTTTGTCTACTCTATATATACTAGTATTCCATTTATCGGACACGGTCATACAGTATCAATAACGATTTAGTTTCAAGCTTCACTCGTGCACGACGTAACACAAAGATATATCAACACCTACCGTCGATCTCACGTTAAAGAACCTTATTAAAGTATCTCTATTATTTTAGCTTATTGCTTCAATGTATATCAATACTTACATCACATCAGTAGTGTCAGCTTTTGCCTTTATTTTTCTATGTTTAACTGTCGTAAAGATACCACTTAAACGCAGATGACAGATTATGTTTTTAGTTCATTTATAATTAATTCCAAGTTGAAGCATGTGTTTAGTTATTCTTAAAACGGTGATGTTGCTAAATATAAGAAGGTAATTAAAGGTCAGTGTCTATTTGACATGTCAAGTATGTATTTATTTCAACATAGGTTAAACATATACAGATGTAAGGTGACAGGTCCTGTCTTAACTGTGTTATGTAAAGTTTGTAGTCTATGTATTGCAACAAGAAACGAATATTTTGCATGTGTTATATAATAGAACATTGCAAATGTTTTAATGCGTATTCCAAACAAAGTATCTTATAAACATGGCACAAAATCAATTTCACAAATGAGGTGCGGAGGAAGCAATGTACTTCTCATTCCAATTTTGTTTCTTCAAAATAAACTCTCACAACATGATAATCTGCTGACAGCTCACAGTTGATTGGGGTAGTATGTCACGTGACCGCATACATTCACGCCAAGTAACATCGTGTGACTTGATTATCAGTGTTGGGTGGCCTAACTCAGGAAGTGAGATGCTGTCTGTCCCGTGTTCTCGTCCATGTTGCCGTATCTGTAAAGGTGAAACATTAGATCATAAACAAAAGTTCATAGATTTTAGATATAGTCGGCATCAAAGTAAAGGAAAGAAGCTTGAAAATTCAATATCACAAGTCCTGACTTGAATTTGTATTAAAGAAGTGTATCATGTGAAATGTACTATCAGGTCTTTGAAATACAATGTAACTATAATTTTGTTTCTCTCATATGTTTGTGATACCGTCTGTATATTCACGTTGGAAACTATCCTGTTGTAGTATCAATTGTACTTTTGGTCAATGGCCCATTATATTGAATAAAACTGTATGTCTGTCTGTTTTGAAATTACAACAGGTGATATATATCATAGCAGTCGTCGACTGTTGACTGTTTACAGTGTCCAGCTTCACTTGCACCAGACTAGTCTGTCATACAGACCCTGAAACAAATATATACAGCTCATGCAACATTATAATGTATGGCAAGTCTAGATCACTGCAGTATCAGGATAATGAAGAAAGTCTCTGGGGCTCCTTTTTATTATATTTCATAGCTATAATTTAACAAGTGTTTTTTCTGTAAAATATGTTCATTTCAGAGACTAGATGTTAGTCTAGCACCAGACATGACACGGATATATCAATCTCTAACGT